TAAAATAAAGCGTTTATAATTACATGCGGATGAAACCACGCGGGAACAGCTGGTCATATCAAAAGTGGGAATGTAAACCTTTGCGGATATCTCTAACATCGTCCCTCGTAGTAAAACTATACAAAGCCAGTGACTGGCGTCAATCACACCAAGGTACGTAATATCTCACTGTAGTTGCGTAACTCGGTAACACCGCAATACTTTCCTTTCCCTCATTATGACACAAAAAAACGGATATCCGTTTACTTAGATCTACAGACATAAGACTCGCTTTACAATATTATTTAGAATACTTATTCCGTTTTTAAGTGTCTTTTTATAAAATGCTTAACAAACTAAAGACAATATGAAGCTGTTTGTAGTTTTGTTCCAAGATATTTATCTTATTGATATTATAATTACGAAAAGTTTGATGGATGGGCTTTGGTTCCGGTGCGTTCCTTGGAGATCCCGGAACCTTTGTCAATGTCACTAGATGGCCACCGAGGGAGTTTTAGTAGGTCAAATCCCTGCCTTCACCCCAGGCAGGGTATCTTTTGAAGATTCTCCCCCGACACCTAAAAAAAGACTACTTATATGTTTTTTTTTAATTCCACGCACGATTTTGGGGCATCTATAAAGTAGATGGATGTTCAAGCCAGTTATATACAATTCTGACAGTTTAACAGATCAGTTAGACAGAGTTGTACAATTCAATTGTAAGTTAAAATTGTGCTCATACTTCAGTTTGGGTCAGTTAAAACTGTCAACACAGAGAATCCGGGAAGGTTTTATGGCGCCGAATAAAAAAAAAAACAATTTACAGATCTACCTACGTAATTTAAAGTAATAAATAAAGTATTTTAACGTTATTTACGTAAATATATTGTGTATAATAAAAAACCAAGGTTGTCCAGTTGCGGAGTCCTTTCACCGCGTACCATCTGGGGTGGGTTGTAACAACTTTTTGAAATGTACTCACTTGACTACCTGTTTTACGACGTAACTATTTTATACACTTCTATGTATTTTTGTTAACAACTTATGAGTTTTTAAGTAACATAAAGTAAATATAACTCTGTACTAATTCAATAAAAAATAATACTGTAGGTTTTTGCAGCAGTTACTTGTGTATATTAATATTATAAAGGGGATATGATTGTATTTTTTTTAATTTAAAAACTACTCGGTTGATTTCGAAGATTTTTATGCCATTTGAAAGCTAAATTATCACCTCGTAATATAGGCTTTATTAGTTATTAGTTTTTTATTTTAATTCAACGCAAACGTAGTCTCTAGCCTAAGCTAGTATTATTGTCGTCTCTGTTTTTTCAGAGTTTGTAGAGGATAGCATTATCGTGTTATATAGGTACTACGGTTACTAAATAAACGTTTATAGACCTTTGCTAAACTAACGCACAACTGTTTAGTCTCGCATTGATTCCTATGGAGTGCACACTACTCGATTAGTTGTGCAACTAAACAGTTGAATAGACAACAAAACAATCGACAATCGCACAAGTCTGAATATATTACGTCATAACAATAGATAACTTAACAAATAAACAATGGAAAGCTATCGATCTGATTCGAACATTCCATGACTTATGACTTGACCTCTGACATACCGGACGGTGCAAACTGAAGGTCAAGTTACGCAAATGCCAGACAGGTGCGGCTTCGTATGGGGAAGTAAAGAACGCATATCCTCCTACATTGAAAGACGAAAACACAACTATATTATTCTGAAACAAGAAACTTGGAACTGTGACAAAAATTTTAACGATACATTATAATTGGTTAGTGTGGGTTTGATGTAGGAAATTAAAACAGACAGATTATACATTAATTAACCGCGAAAGTTAAATCTTTGCTAATATTAAGAGTTTTGTATTTTGTTATGTGTTCAAATAACTCAAAAACTACTTTTTGAGATCTACAATTCTTTCAAACATTATTTTTATATACCTCTAACGGTTTAGGCAGCATAAGCCGAGAAAAGTTAAAGTTTGGTGAATTTTGACGCCGGCTTCCAGAAACATGCTGTTTATTAATAGTTCCTAAACATTAGCAATAATAAAATATAGCCTATGTTACTAACAGATAAATTATATTTCTGACTAGCTGTTCCCGTGCGGCTTCATCCGCATGGAATTATGAAAATTTTATTTTATTGTTTACATTTGTCAAATTATCAATAGCATATGTCAAAATGGCAATCTTACTTGATGTTGGCAGAAACTTATGGTCTTTTTCCCACATTAGGGTTTTTATCCAAAATATTTACCCCTAAAGTTTAATGGCGCGACAATATATAACCTAAAGCGTGAAGTAAGTATATGGCTTTTTATTAAAGAAAGAATTATTAAAAAATATGCAGTAATTGCTGTGATCTTAGGCAACAAAGAATTGTGTGTTTACGCTTCATTATAATAGTATAGATGGTGAAGGAATTATTAAAATCGGGCCAGTAGTTTTTGAGTTATTTCAATACATACAATATTGATAATGAAGGAATGAAATAATGCAATAAGTCATACGCAGTTGCATTTAAATGAGTAAAGGGCGTTCATGCAACTGCATGTTGCGATATCACGTATATATTTTAATTATCTATGTAGTATATTACCATATATTATATGATTTAAGTGCAATAGTCCAGTATTCGAGGCATTTAAATATATATACATTATATATTGTATACATTTAGTTATGTATAATACTATTTAAGAGTGTATTCCCAATTATTTTTGATCTCTAGTTAATAAATATTGCAAAATAATCATTAAATAACGTGTTACATTGGACAATAGGTTAGTAATTATAATATTATTATTATTATTAATTTAACTCTAACTTTTGTAATCATACTAATATTATAAATGCGAAAGTTTAGATGGATGGATGTTTGTTAGAGTTTGTATCCTAAACGGCTGAACAGTTTTCGATGAAATTTGGTATAGATGTAGAGGATAGTCAGGAAGAACACATGGGCTAATCACTTTTGATTTTTAATTCCACGCAAACGGAGTCGCGGGCGGAAGCTAGTATAGTAACTAAAAACAGAAATAGTGTCTTAAAGAAATATTTCAAAGATAACCAAACACGTCTTCCTAATTAAAATTCCGTTTAAACTCAGAGATTAAATCGGTAACTTTGAAAAAAACCTACTTATGGTTCTTTTAACAAGACACTCCTTATTTAAATATAACCAACAAATGGTAGAGACCTTGACATACGGTAAAAAAAGTAGTTAGTCATCTCGTAGGTTACAAACCAGTCGACCTCAGAGATTTGCAAACTGAACTAAACTAATTACTGCAATTTGTGTTGTATACCGTTAGTGTTAAAGTATAATTTTATTTGTAAATAATATCGTGAGAAAGGATATGCAAATTGTTAATAAGTAACATCCTTGCTAATAGATACAAGCTACTTGGTTATACATGGTGTGAGGTCGATGGTTTTTTAATGCTTTCCTAAAGGTAGGAAGTCCGTTTCCTGAATGTAAGGATTAGGTATACAGTGGGATTCGAAAATAAATCAAACGGAACTACAAACATCTGTTGACAATTTGACAATATATTTATGGTATAACTAGTTTTCGATTGCGACTCCGTCCGCGTAGAATAAAATAAAGACAAAAGTAAGTAACCTATGTATTCTTCCAGACTATTCTCAAGATCAAAGCCAAATTTCATTGGTATCCGTTTAGTAGTTTAGGCTACAAACTCGAACAAACATTCATCTCAACTTTAATATCTAACACTAGCTTTCGCCCGCGGCTCCGTCCGTGTAGAATAAAATAAAAACAAAAGTAAGTGACATATGCACTCTTCCAGACTATCCTCAATATCAATGCCAAATTTCATCGAGATCCCTTCAGTCGTTTAGGTTACAAACTGTAACAAACATCCATCCATCTAAACTTTCGCATTTATGGTATAACTGTAAATCTCCACTTCCATAACCCTTAATTGACTTTTCTCTCTTTTTTTTAATCAGGTACTTTTGTACAAGCATTTCAAATGCGCGTTGCAAAGAAAATACAATTATTTATTTTATACAATAAACCATGTCAATATTTTTCTTACTCATTATATTTACGAATAACTTTAGCTACAAACAAACGGCTTATTTTCAAACAGTGACTCGTCAGAATAACGTTATCATAAATAACAATAATAAAACGGCTATCACGTGTCGCAAATAGCTTCTCGAATTGTCAATAAACATGACACGGCGGTGATTTCACGTCAATTTGCAACAATTTCAAACAATCGATAAAACCCAAGGCTGTGTTACCACAGAGCAATTAAACTATGGGTTAATTCTCACGGAATGCAAATCTACTTGACCAATAAGAAATGTAGAGCAAAAATATAACAATATAATGGTCTCAAACCATACGATTTCATAATTTAATATTTGAAATCAAAACTAAAATCACTCAAATAAATTTATGACCGAACAACATTTGTAAATTATAATAATATGAAAGTATTACATGATTTCAAATGTTTATATTATCTGTATTTTTTTTATCAGAAACATACAAGCTGTCCCTTTGATTGCTTATCTACACAATCTTGATACTTGAAGTATCAAAATATCACTAAACATACTCAAACTTTATACATTTTCCAAACATTTTTAGAGTATTTTATAGGTTATATTAAATAAAATTCATTACCTCTAACATGTTTAAGCACATCGAATCTGGCTACATTATTTTCAATTGACGCAGAAATAATTAATTGACAGCTACAATAGTCAACACTATTTTGATTTTTAATTCTGTCTGCAATTGACAGGGGTGGCGAAAGTTTGGCACGCGTGCCATAAAAGAAACAAGACAATATTTTGGGCACGTCGATAATAATTATAAAAACACTAGTAAAAAATTATTCGATGGCACGTCTAAGACAGCATTGAACATTAAAAAAAATGGCACTTTGATGCATAAATGTTCACCACCCCTGGCCTGTGATATAGACTTATGATGATGATGAGCCACTTACAGTTTTAGAGTATCCGCTACCAGCACTGCCATCGGAGGAGTTGCTGAGCCGACGCTCGCCCGCGGCGGGCGGCGCCCACGCTCCGCTGTCTGAAGGCATTGCTCACATCCTCTTCACCAGCGACAGACGTCCAGACCCTCACGCACTACACTACCACTTCACTGTCCCACACAAATGTCCATCTTACGACTACCTGAAAAGAAAGGTCACTGTTAAATCTACAATTTCTCAAACCTCTATCTCCTGTCTATACTAATATTATAAAGAGAAAAGTTATATTTTATGTATGTATTTAAATAACTCAAAAACTACTAGGCCGATTTCATAAATTCTTTCACCTTTGAAAAAGCTACGTTATCGCTGAGTAACATAGGCTATAATTTGGTGGACGAAGTCGCGAGCAACAAGTAGTTAACATTAAAAAAAACTTTTATCGAAATTATTCCGCAATAAACATAAAACAACTGTTATATCGTATTCATTTAATGTGAATTTAATTAATAACACATAATAAAGATATCAAAACGTTTTGCAATAAGCAATCAGTGACAATTCACTTTGTAATGCACAAGTTTCCGTGAAGTCACAACTCGCTCCCTCAAATGATAAAACACAAACTGTTGACAAGAGATTGCGACGAGATTAGGCGCGACTAGCGTGTCGTAAAAGGCTTCAACAAATGAGGCTATGTGAGTTTATTTTATCATTGGAATCACAAGACTGCAAATACTCAGAACACACGCACGCAGATAAAAACATAAATAATTTAAAACACAATTACCAGATAAAAATAGCAAATAACTCGTTTAAAAATAGAACGCTAATTAAATCGCGCGGCCGAATGTCAAGTTATGTGAACGCGCGCACGTCCGTCGTGCCCAGCGCGGCGATCGAGACTGGCTAGTGAGGGACAATCGAGCGATAAAAATTTCTTAATCGATATCTCGTTATAATTTTTTTTTCTTGCAACATTACGCAATACGTTCTACTAGTATATTAAAACTTTATTGATTATGTTTTTTTTTGTTTAATCGATTTGTTCGGTTATTATCGGTTTGATTTACTTTAACCGAGCCATCGTAACTTGATTGGTTTTAAGCGGTCGTAACTAATTTCTAACGTTTAAATCTGGTTTACATTCGTACAATAAAGATATTAATACATTCTTTTTGTAATTTAATCGCTACATTTTTTATTTGTTTAATTATTTGATTGCGAGATAACAGTTTAGTCGAAAACTCCAATTAAATTTCTGAAAACGTTCTATGTAATCTACAGTCATACCTATTATTAGAACGAGTCTGAAGGTGAACTAGGGTCTTGACGCAAAAGGAAACTGCAACCGTAATCCCAATCATAACCTAAAAACTTATTATGAAACGAATTTAACAATACATAACAATCAACTTCCTAAACAATATCAATGACACATGCTTATTATAATTACTGTTTATAATAAGGATTCGTCATCCCTTAAGAATAAATAACAACAATGTAAGAAAATAAAAACGCAATCATAAGTATAAAGCAATCTAAAGTTATACTAAACATAATTTTAGATATCGACAACACGAAAAAGTGAAGCCCCATCCTTAATATACATTTCATTCCAAATTTAAAAAACGTATTTTCACATTACAGGAATATAACTAGGACCTGTAGATTATAAGTCCAGGGCTAGACAAGTGTGCACAATCTTGCTTGTAGTCAATTTGTGCACGTGTTTGCCGTTAGGTGTACCGACAATGGGACCAGCCGCCTGGCGACATAGCATGGACACTGGTATTGTGCTAGGGTGACTATGTAAACTAGACCAGGATAGTCCCAGATAGATTTAAGTTTGTAACATTTAATAAAACAACACTTGTAAGGATATTCTGGCTAAGGATGAAATTACTGTTGATTAAAAATACGTGGATATTTTACTAAGGAATACATAATTATTTACTCAACGTTATCTGTTTTAAATTGACCAATCGACATTCAACGTACTTTAAAATGAACGATCTCAAAAATTTTAATAGCAAAATTCTTTGCCAAAACTAATTACCTTCACTGTAATCGAAACTCATTAAAAAGTTGTTTTATTCTGATTAAAAGACTTGGCACAGTTTTATTTTAATTAGAAGATTCAATGTTTATGTCGTTTAATGTAGCCTTCATCTCCCTTGGAGTAATAAAATTTCTTAAAACAAACCAGAAAGAAGGTATTAATTTAAAGAAAGATTTTATTTCTTTAAGAATTTTCATTATGCAGTAAAAATTGCATCCATAATTCCAATAGTAATGACTTAGTTTAAAGCACGTCCTATTTGATATTAACTATATGGTCACCCTAACTGGACCACTTTCTATGCAGTCTCGGGAGTTTATACCGGCTTTGATTAAAACTAGAGCACCTATTTCATAGCAATAGAGTCCAGAATTGATGCAGGATTTATTGCTTATTGTTAAGGATAAACTGTGCTAATGGGAGAAACCGTATGTCTTTGACTTTTAAATGACAAGACCTAGCATACTCCTTAGCACAGTAAAAACTAACAATAAGCTCTCCGTACGCTTACCTCAGTAATCGTTTAAGTGTGTAAAAATTCGTGCGCTCGTCGTGAAATGTGGCAGAAATTATTATCAACGCATGTTTGCTTAGTCCGTTTCTGTATAGTCAAAGGTATCGTATGATTCAGAGCGTGCCTACGGTATGGTAATTTAGCTATCGTTTTAATATTGAGTTTACTATTGAGGTTGATATGAAAAGGGGGTAGACTGCAAATTGGCAATTAGTGTACGGTTTATCATTTGATTGTCGTTTGAAGAGCGGAAGATGTTGGCCTATACCTAAATAGGCGACCGTAGTTTGAATTTCAAATTGATATTGTTATAATGGATTTCTATTTTAAGTTCCAACTTGTATATTGAAGTTGGATTCCATTCTATTTAAGTGAAAGATATCATTTAACTAAATGTAGAACAAGGACATCTAGAGGACACCAGGTGCGGAAGGAAAAGGACACCAGGTCTAGAATGGAATCCACGGACGAGGACCAGGAACGTGGATCCTTCCTCCAGATGGACCGACGACTTAGTGCGCAGTGCAAGTCGTTGGATGCAGAAGTCGGAGGACCGCATTCTGTTAAAGGCATTGGGAAGACAAAGGCTGATGATGATGGTGATGCAGTGTAGAAAAGAAATAGTCAAATAAGACAAGACATAACTTATTGGCCAGTATTTACGATTTATAATATTCTTCTGAACAGTAATGTAAACATAGAGTAGTGGATTTACAGTATAACAATATTATAAATGGAACAGTTCCGTATGGCGAATGTAACGGGCTACGTGACCGGGGACGGTATGCGACGCCGTTACGCCTACCGAGATAGATCGTTACGATACGACTAGGTGACGACTACCATACGATATTGTGTCGTCAATTACAATATTATAACGTACTCATTTGTTACTAGCTGTTGTTCGCGGTTTAGCACAGGTAATATTTTAAAAATAATAAAGACTGTAGTCTATGTTACCTACTAATAACGTAGCTTTTTAATGGTAAAAGAATTTTTGAAATAGGCCTAGTAGTTTTCGAGTTATGTTAATAAATTACAAAAATACAAATCTTTCCTCTTTATAACAATAGTATAGTTGTAGACTCGGTTGTTATAAATTACACTGACGCACATTAGCGCCCCCTAACGTGCTTTTTAGTAAATCCTCAAAGTTGAGTTTAGAGATGACGTAATCAGGATATCTCATTGTCATTTATGTCATTTACATACGTCAAAGAGATGTTTTTTTTAATATTAGCATATTTTTTGTTAATTTACTAATATTTCCTTTAACCATTCCAACTAAGCTCTAGTCTTGTGCTAGGATATGGTGGTTCATGACGATAGTCGAATGGCGGGATTCGAACCCAAGACCGCATGTTCGGTAGTCCGTACCCCAAACCATTAGACTTTAGAAATATCGTTGAGACATTACATTTAATTGGAAATATAGATTTTTTTACGCAGTATAGACATAGTTTTCATTGTCAAATAACTGTAAAAGATTATCTCTGGTTCTAATAGAATGAAAGGATGATTCTTGACGTTTATCCGCAGTGGAACCTTATGTTTACATTCCAGAACTATGTGTATTACATCACATATCCTCGGAACTCCCCACATTCATAAAACGACAATGTAATTACAAGTTAATCATCAAGCACTGTGAGATGACGATTTATTACTCAGTAAATAATCAAGTAATAAGTCACAATGTACGAGAATTATAAAGTGCAGTACAAAAGGGAAATAACATAGGCAGAATATCAAGCTTTGATATTACTAAATGGATTCTTTTAAATGACAAAATTAAATAACTAAAAGGGAATGATTTAGCGAAGGTAAGGACCCATAGGTTATGAAAACATCCTCTTTCTGTACGCCTCTTCCGTTGATTATAGGCAACGCATCTACAAATGCAGATGTCAGTAAGAATCGGTCGGTTCGCTATAATGAATTTTGACAACCGCTAACTCATGCAACACAACTCATGTGACGTTTCCCCCTATTACATTTGAAAATAGAAACTGACCATAGGACGATTACACGCGTAAACTTCAATACTCTGTGACTAAGAAATAATATAACAAGCTAATCTGGGATAATCAACCAGCGCATAGAACATTGTTGGTGAATGAATAGTTATAAATTGTCATGAATGCGGAACACATGACTAACATCTTCAAGGTAGAGTAAACAGTAACAGTAATTATTGCGGGAACCTGGACGATATCCAACTATACCATAATAGTGAGTTTCCATTGACGAAACATGTAACGATGTTGACAATGCAATCATACTAATATTATAAATGCGAAAGTTTAGATGGATGGATGGATGTTTGCTAGAGTTTGTAGCTCAAACCGTTGAACGTGTTTCTTTTAAATTTGGCATAGATATAGAGAATAGTCTGGAAGAACACATACGCTACTCACTTTTTTTTTAATCCCACGCGGACGGAGTCGCTAGCGAAAGCTAGTCATATTATAAATGCGATTTAGATAGATGAATGGAAGTTTGCTAGAGTTTGTAGCCTAAACAACTGAACGGATTTCAATAAAATTTGGCTTACATGTAGAGGATAGTCTGGAAGAACACATACGCTACTCACATTTGTTTATTTAATTCCACACGGACAGTCACG